CCTTGGCCTTTCGGCTTCGGCTGCCACTGCTGTTGCCCCGAGGGGCCCGCCTGCTGCTGCTGCTGAGACCACTGCGGCTTGCCTTTCGGCTTGCCGCCCTGCGCGGGTTGCGCTGACGCGACCGGCCCTTCTTACGGGCGTTCGCCAGTGGCGCGCTGCTTGCCCTTGGACTGAGATCCAGGGTTCTTGTGCTGGTTCGCGAGTTGCGCTTGATGACGCAAAATCGCGTTGCGGAGGTCGATGAGAGAAAGGTTCTCAACCGTCGTTACCTCGTTGTTGAAGTGCTCCCTGACCGCGCGATAGGATTCGGGGAGCGCGCACATGAGGAGCAGCGCGAGCTGCTGGTCGCAAAGGACTCCGGCTCGATAGGAGTGGACGTTGGTGGGAAGGTTGACGGTAAAACCGCTCAACGTGTTGAGGCGCTGGGCAGTGCGGTAGAAGACATCGAGGTGATGGTTGGGGTTGCCCGTGGCGGGGATACCGGTACGGAGCAGTTTGCCCATCTTGACGAAGGCCTCTGTGACGCCGCGCTTCTGGACGCCGTACTCGGCTTTGAGGAAGGCGAGGATTTCCGACGCCGTTTTGACAGAGGTCGTCGTACTGTTTCCTGCCTCTTCGACCTTGGCCCAGACGTGGGGGTCGACCTTGAAACCGATCTTCCCCCTGGCTTGCATGTCCTTCGCGTCCCACTCCTTGATCTCCTTGTCCCTCTCGGCCTTGGCCTCGTCGGAGCCCGTAGCGAGAGCGACGGGCCTCGGCTTGAGCGCGATACCACAGCCCTCAGAACGGCAGTAATGGAGCATAGACAAAGCCCACTCTTCGACGTGCGACCCGCTGAAGACGTTGGTCGCGGAGAAGGTGTTGTTGGCCTTGGTGTTGGAAGACATATCTGTTGGACACTGTCGTCAGCGTTCTGGACGCATACAACGACAAGCCAGGTGAGACGTGGGTTGAACCAACCCGGCGGCGCATTACGCCAGCCTGGCGGCCCCCTAGCCTTTTACGGCTTTTCGCCAGCGGCACGAATGCCAAGCTGTAGCGATTCGAGCCAGCGGCGTGAACGCCAAGCTGTAGCTCAGTGGACCTCGCAGCGTCTAAACGCTAAGCGACGGTTCATGCCCCACGGGGCTCATAACCTGTGAAATGGAAGCGGCACATTAGTGCACGCATCGGGCTTCACGTACTCACCTGTTGGGTTTGCTTAGAGGCTTTGTAGCTTGGTAGAGCTGGTAGCGATGGTAGTCGTTCAGGAGAGAAAGACTTAGATTGAGAGAGCGCTACAGTACTGGCTTATATACTAGAGAGTGACTGTGACTGTAACGCATGTAACGTAGGTGAGTTAGTTATGCTATTGGTTGTCTATATTTAGTACTCGTATGAGTAAGCGTATGCTGACTGATGCACTGTGTGCATTACTAAACTACTATGAGTCATGTACGTAAGTAGAGTTCGGATCAAGTCCGTTCAACACAGCCTAGGTTCCTGAACTGCTCCAAGGGATTTCTCCCAGGTATGCTGTTATCCGGCAACATGTTTGGCTTCCTCTTTCGCCCAGATGTCCGTACGGTTTCTGGTATAGGTACTTGAGGTGTGACAGTTGGTTGACGTTGTGGTCTTTGTGCTCTTGGAACCAGTTGTTCACCAGGTTCCGGCAAAAGATCTTGATGTTCCTCTCGTGGAGGGTCATCTGTGGGCAGACCTTGGTACATGTCTTCCCATTTGTTCTCAAGTTCGGCGAACTCCTTCTCCAAACCTTCGAACTCGTCGTCGTCATCCTCGACCTTAGGCTGATGAGCCTTTCGCCAGTCATCTGAACTTTCTGACCGTGGCGTTTGAGGCGGACTCAGGTTACGTGGCCCGTCGGCCGGTAGTTCACCATCGTCCCATTGTAGTGGTGATTGTGCAGCAGGAGGAGCTGGTCGTGCATCCTCCGAACTAAGTGGCGGAAAGTCGTTTTTGATAGGACTCCGCGGTGGTACGAGCACATCCACCTCTGGTAAGCGCGTAAAGCGCTGGGTGTTCCGATGCCAGAACATGTGTCGCTTTGGAAACGTCATCTCGTCGAACACCACGTTCGTGGTGATCTTAAGCTTCCAGTCGCCGGTTAGGAATTTGTATCTGTTACCAGAATCCGATACTCCGACGTGTATACACACGTGAGATCTCAGAACGAGCTTGTTGGCACGCTCCTCTGGATTAAGATACACGTAGCCCAAGCAACCGAAGACACGCAAGTAATCGACACAGGGTTTTTCACCCTCCACAATCTCATACAGTGATTTCCATTTCAGTCGCTTCATCGGTGTCCTGTTATAGACATGTGCTGCGTGTTCGATAGCGAAGTTCCACACAAACGGCGGCAGATAGGCGTCATGCCGCATTGCCTCAGCTTTTTCTGTTATTGTGTGTATCATCCGTTCGGCCCTGCCGTTCTGCACATGCGCATAAGGCGTTGATGTGAGGATTTTGATGCCACGTGATTGTAACATTTCTGTAAACTCTCGCGATTTAAACTCTCCCCCTGCATCAGACTTCCACATCCGAAGAGAGCGATGGTACTGATTTAGCGTAAACGCCAACCAGGTGGCCACCGCTTGACGGGTTTCGCTCTTTTGACGGAGCAGAGTGACCCAACAGTAGCCAGTACAGTCATTGACCATGATGAGTGCATACCGTTTCTTTCCTATCAAGGACTCGACCGAGAACTCTTTGAGATCCGCATGGACAAGTCCAAGAAAGTCCGTAACTCTCAATTCGTCTCGTGGGAACGGGCGATTGGTCATTTTGCCAAGGGTGCAACCCTCGCACAGCTGCCTAAGATTAGGCGGCGGGAAGTTGAGGTTCGTTGGTAGACCTTCGATGGTCTTCCGTCCGCAACGAAGCACCTCATCCGAGCAATGGCCCAGACGTTGATGCCAGATCTTGAAATCGGGCTTTGTCATGCCGATAACACCAGCCAAATGAGCCTGGTGCAGATCTAATGATGAGTGAACCCAATATAGGTTCCCCCCAGGGCACACTGTAGCGTGCACCACTTCGGCGGACTTGCTCGTGAGCACCACAAGCTTGTCCTTGTCTCCTCGCAGGAGATTCCCTTCCCGGCAAAATTGGCCCGTCGATAGCATTCGAACGGTACCACCAGGTAGGTAGAAAACAGGGTATATATGCGTGGTACATTGCTTCCCTCGCGTATCCTTGTGACGAAGGATTACGGTACCCTTTCCGGTGCACTGGGTAGATCCGGACGATGTTGAGACGGTAAACTGTTCTGGCTCAGGTAGATCCTCAAATTCCGAGAAATCGGAGAGATGAGGCGTGAAGTGCGTGGAAGCACCTGAATCAAGAACCCATCCGATTGGATAGTGTTCATGCACCTTCTCATGTAGAGCCTTCTCACGTTCTGGGCTTCTTACCACCAATGAGACTTCACTGCATACTTCACACGTTTGGTTTGACAAATGCACGCATTGTCTATTCACCAGCCCGCGCGAATTATAACTACCGACTACATATGGTTCACCTGTAAAGGGTTTGTCACCAAGTGAGTAGCCGGGAGCAGTGGAGAAACTGGTTGCGCACCAGACGCCCTCATCGAGGGACACCGCCTTCTCTGTATAACGGCCGTCCTCAGACGGCTCGTGGAGTGACATGCCCGCGAACTCCTCATAGTTGTCCTCCTCCTCCTGACTGAACTCGTCGATCCTGACCGGGGTAGCCGCCATGGACTGGCGGATGTCCTCCGAGTCGCGCTGGTACTGCGCGTACACGTCGGCATTGAGCCAGCCATTGTGGCCGGTTCGAGCGTCCGATATGTAGGAGCCTCCAGCTGCAAGCCGGTCACCAAGCTTCTGCTTCTTCCAGTCAGAAAACTTGGTGCGCTTTGGAGCACCTAGCCAAGTGGCAGGATCAGTCATAGCACGCGGTTGAAACACCTGTGGCTTACGAGATGGTTCCTCTATTGGCTTGATACGAGCCAACAGAGGCGGAGTAGGCGAGGAGCCCATGGAGATCCGACTCATAAGGGTCGGAGTCTCTCCCGCCATGGACAGCAGATCTACGCGAGTCCGCTCATAGGTGGGTTTTAAACCCTCGTCCCGCTGGCGCTTGAGAGCGCTGGCGGGACCCCATGCGGGCGCTGGATTGGTTCCGCGACCTTGGTAGGCCGTGGCGGGTTGGTGGGACCGCTTACGCGGATCATGGGCCGGCTCAGTTAACACCAGTGCCGGTTCTGGGCCCGTGAACGGACCATCAGTGACGTGGGCGAAGTGGTATTGAGGCGGCGTTTGGAATGCCGCTGTCGACGTATAGTTGGCAGCGGGAGTACTCTGCGCCGGCGCTTGCTGCTGCACCGCCGGCGCGCTGGCAGCTGCTGGGGTTGACGAAGTCGATGTGGCGTTAGCCGCCCCCTGCTGCTGTTGCTGACCCTGCTGCCCCTTGCGCTCCTTCTTGCCGTTCCGCGCCTTCTTGCCATTGCCGCTAGACGACGTCTGCCCATTGTACGTCTTCATACCGGAGCTGGCCTTGTTGGCCTGCTCCTCCTTGACTTGAGGAGCCTTCTTCTTCTTCTGCGATGTGGAGCGTAACTCCCAGTCGGATTGCAGTCGCGTGATGACCGTCACACTCGTAAGAGTCGACAGCCCGGTAGTCGCCGCATTGATGGCGTGCTTTGCAGCCTCGTAGCCAGGTGGGATTTTGGAGAAAAGGATGGCGCTGGCGAGGGAAGCGGGGACTGTGCCGCCCAAGCCAACGTACCGGTCGAGAGAGGCGACGATCTTGGTGATCGCCGGGTTCGGGTTGGAGTCACCTGGAATCTGGGTGTTGAGAGCTAACTTCAGCTCATTGATCGCTGTGCTGATCCCCCTCGCGGCAGCGTGGGTCTCAAGCATGTCGAGGGCGACCAAGGCCTCATCAACTCCGGCGAGGTGCCGAAGCTGATCGTTGCTGATGCACTCCAGGATCTTCCCCATAGCCGTGTTGTTTGCGTCCTCCCATTTGCCCCTCTCAGCCCTATCCGTGGCCGTGTTCATAGGCGTATTGGCGTGCAAATGAGCGCGTGTCTCGCGGAGAGCGCGCCCATTACCGGACGACTTGATGTTGTTCTTCATCCGAATGGCCCAACCGGTATAGTCAACGCCGTTGTAGACGCCGACGACCTGGGCGGTGGCTGAGAGTTGGTTGTTGCCAGAAGTAGACATATTTGATGAATCTGGGGTTGTTGGAACACATCAGCGTTGTTCACATGACGATTTACAATCTGTGCCCAGGTGAGCCGCGTATAGGCTAACGGGTTTAGGTACCGGCGGTTCACCCAATCAAGGGTTCCCACCACCGTGTGACGACGCTTCGCGCATAACGGGAGGGTGTCCCCTTTATTCCTGCTCACCCTGGTTAACACCAGTGGGTGAAAGGTAACACCGCTTCGGTTAACACTGTTGCGGATTTACATCCCTATGTACTACTAGGCACTACTCGTACACTAAGATCCCGCCACACCCCGCGGGGCTCATAACCTGTTGAAGACACGATACGCGAGTATAGCAGAATCCTATGATAGCGCGTACTCACCGGGCTAAGTGTTTGAAGACTTGAGTAAAGCTTGTAGAGCTTGGTTGCGAGTGACGATGGTAGTCGTTCGAGTAGAAGAGACTTAGGAATGTATTCATGGTAGTGACTTGTATATATAGTATACATGGAGCGTGTGAATCTACTACCGTATTTGTAACAAGCCAGCCCTAAACCACGCATAGCATGGACGTCTAGCTACAAGTCCACATGGCCTGGTGCAACAGCAGCGGGCCATGACGAGTCATGAGTACGTAAGAGGCGCTTAAGTGTATACACACGTTGAGCGCCGATATAGAACGGAATGGTGGTGTTTACTTGTAGACCTCATAGAGGAACATTGCCTAAGTGATGGAGACTCCCTGGTATACACCAATAGAAGTCGTAAAAGGGTGAAGTACCACTCGTACTTTCAACAATTTAAGCCCAAATCTCGCAACTCAGTACATGGATGGTAAGTATACTATCAAGTGTCAGTTTCATGCTCACGCCAGGGTTGCTCAGTTTCCATTGGCATGCTCATTGTAAGTAATCAAAGTACCTTAAACCAACATTTTACACAGCTCATTTGAATTGAAGTTATATGACTTTCTCATCACGCTCCCTGACAAGGTAAATCTACTAACAGGATTCTTCTGTAACACGCCTTTATGTTTTTATAGGTGGAGTATTTATGGATGGGACACGGAATGAGACTAGGAAAAATACTGTATATTCTTACTCGATGTAGTGCATTCCCAACAGTTCTCCTGGTCCTTCTCTGTAAGCTTCCAATTTTACTTTGGTTTGAGCTGAAGCTGATACATGCTTCAAGTCCAACTTCCATTCGGGACTGGGCTCAAGGCTAGTTATTTACCTTTGTCTAAGAATGTCACTGAATTAGATCCTTCAGACACTGGCATGCTTGTCTTTAAATGATGTGAACCGTCGTGAGACAACTTCTCTATGAAGTGCTTGATGTATTTGACTGATGTGTTGCCTAGTCTTAGAGATTCTTACACTATGGGTTTTGGAAGGTATAACACGATGAATATGAAGATGAAGATGTATTTTTTCTATCATTCAAACCTCAGGACTCTTTGCCCTGCGCACCTATATTTTGTGGAATCGCAACAAGGTTGTCCTTACAATATTGACATGTTTCTTCACTGTACGTATCATGGTTCACTTCATGCGATACGTCTGAAGCAAACCACTCATCTAGATTGAATTGATCACAACCGGATTCGTTCTTGGGTTTTCCGGTACCAAATCAAGGGGTAAGTCTGTCAGCAAGAGATACTTGGAATATCCAAAATTGATGACTTGTTCCTGAAGTACTGAGCTCCCTTGCCCCGAACATTTCAGCTTGCATCATAAATGGGCTGCCAAGATTTGTGTATGGGATATACCTTGTGATGCTTATCTGGGAGCTAGGTCACAGATTTACTTTGGCTTGGGAGTTCTCATATCTAACGCTAACGTCTAGTCGTGTTCACTTTGATGATCATCTGAATTGAGAGAAGTAGACCTCGTTCGGCTCTCTTGAAGGTCATGGTACGCGACGGAGTATTGTACTGCCTTTGCAGCACCTGCGAGTAAAAACTTTGTCAGCGCTTTTCCTCCCAATCACTCACGCTAGTATAAGTCTTATCGACTGCTAGCATGGTTATTTTGATGCGAGCACCAGTGAGCCTCGTTATACCTTATCCCACCCCCTGAAGCTCATTCAGGTACTGTACCATTACGACCTCAAGTTCGTCCCCTGTCCACCCGGGGCTCGAACTGAACTTAATTAGGGTGGACAGTCCACCCTCGGCCAACCCATCCGAACTTAGAGAGGTGGACAGATGTGCAAACAACAAAATCATACCAAGAATAAAATAAATATACAAACACACTCATAAACGTTCTCATTAACTGATATCCCTCATGATGATATTCTCACTTCGGGATAAGGTTGAGAGGATTGTTTGACCTGAAATAGTGTGATAATTAACTTTTTCTGTTCCTGAAAACGAACAATGTCCACCAGGCCATCTACCCGTTGAACTTGTTGGGGTGGACAGGCGGAATTTAATTTAATAATTTCCCACGCCACCGTGAACTTAAGGTCGTAATGGTACAGTAATATAGGACGGATTTGATATAGGGTTGACTCTGTAAGATTTCCTCACTCGATGTTGTTTCACGATTAATCTAGTGATTGACTTTAAATTACACAGTTTTCAGGCCATCTTTCACGCAATTCTGGCATCACGCCTGCAGCTTCATTTAGCTAGCAAGAGCAAGGAAAAGAAGATGTTGGCAAGCAACACCGTGAATTCTGCAGGGTTTGAAGAGCGAGGCGCAATGACCTGCATTCATGAACTCAGGCAGGTAGCACAGGAAGTGGCTTGAAGTAAGGACGAGCTATTATGAAATATGATAAGACATTCTGATGGCTGTAACTTGATGTACATTATTATTTAAAACGTCTGATCAGTAAATCCCTATTCAAATGTTTAACCACAAGACACGCCGCGCTACGCTCTGGCAAATCAGACTTTTCCCGAGGGCTTAGCTGAGAACAAAAATGCACGATAGACAACGGCACGTATAGCCAGCAGATTTTCAGCACGTAGTGTTCTGCCACGTTCGGGATTTATTTGGGATGTGCACCACAGGCCATGATCAAAAAGAAAATCCTACCATCAAATCGTCAAACAAAAATTTGGTCAACAAAAGCCTACCATAATTTTGAGGATACGAGTTATTTAAATATTCATAACCAAGGAATGTATCTTCGCTGGCGTGCCCTCCTGCGTCGAGGGTCATTATAATATATTTGAAGCAAATGCTCTAACAGCACAAGATCCAGTTTTCTACTTTTGAGACGAACAACGGTCCAAGAATCAAGCGGCAGCTGATTCTCCTCATACTCTATTGCATACACATCCTTCCCTTATTCCTCCAACTGCCGCCTCGCGCACGCTCAATACGTATGCGACAGATCCCCGTTCCCATTAACCACCAGATGCTCCTGCGTCGCCTCCCGCAGCTTCTGCTCGCCCACCATGCTCGCGGCCGGATGCGGCGGCACGTATCCCCTTGCCGCTCCGAGCACCTCCTCGAGCACCGTCGCGCCCGACGCGCCGATCCCGCATGCGGCAGCGACGAAGCCCAGGAACGGCGGCGACGGGTTCAGCGGGCGCGAGCAGAACTCGGGGTGCGCCTGCAGTCCCACGAAGTACGGGTGGTCTGGTAATTAATTGCGCCGCATGCAACAGTCAGCCCACCATATAAACCAAATAGAACAGAATAATAGAAGAATCCAGAGTTGGAACGGGTGCGTGTGAAAGAGCACCAAACGCACCTCGAATCTCCAACACCTGCATCCGCTCCCCCTTCTCGTCCCGCCCCGTAAAACACAGCCCGCCCTCCTCGAGCACACCCACCCTCTCCGGGTTCACCTCGTACCGGTGTCGGTGCCGCTCCCAGATCTTCTCCCCGCCGCCGTACATCCCGCGCGCCTTCGACCACCCCTCCGTGCCGGGCTGGAACACCGTCGGGCGCAGCCCGAGCCGCATCGTCCCGCCCATGTGCGTGCGCGAGATCTCGGGCATGAAGATGATGAACGGCTCCGGCGTCTGCGTGTCGAATTCGGTCGATTGGGCGCCTGCGTATCGTGCAAGTGTGGTTAGCGAGCGTTGATTCCTGAGAGAGAGAAAGGGAATGAAGCGCACCATCGACCCCGAGCACGTTCCGCGCGTACTCCAGCACGGCCATCTGGAACCCGAGACAGATGCCCAGGAACGGGACCTTGGCCTCGCGCGCGCGCTTAATGGCGAGCAACATGCCCTCTGTCCCGCGCTGGCCAAATCCACCAGGGATCAGGATACCTCTGCGGACGATCACAGTTTACGGTCAGATCTCCCCACTGGGAAGATGAAGGATCATAAAGAAGGGGCGACGCACCCAGCGCCAACGACCGCGCGCCACGCATCGTGGTACTTCACCGGCGACGTCTCCTGCGTCTCAGGCTCGAGATCCGACGAGTCCACCCACTGCACATACCATGTCAGCTCAACCATATCCCAGACGGAGCAAAGAACGGGAGAACGGCACCTCGATGATCATCTTCCTCCCCACGCGGAACGCCGAGTGCTCGAGCGACTTGATCACACTCATATATGAGTCCTTCAGGTCCGTGTACTTGCCCACGACTGCGATCTTGACCGTATCGAACAGCCGCTCCTGCCTATCCATTCATTTACAACAACGCCAAAATGTGTTGTTAGCACGGCCCTTGTACAAACCAGCAGGCTGACAACACGCACCCTTTGCACATCCCCTTCCACCGCGCCTCGAGCGATGTGCCGCGCTCTATCATCTCGGGCGTGATGTTGAGGCTCGCGAGGTTGAGCCGCCGGCGGAGGTAGGGAAGGATGCCCTGTGCCTGGAGCAGCAGGGGCACGTGGTACACCGACGAGACGTCGTGCACACCAAAGACCTGCTCGGATGAGACGTGGCAGAACATGCTGATCTTGGCTTTCGTGTCGTCTGCGAGCGGCTGAGGAAGAAGGAGGCGGCATGCGATCTGAACGTTTGTAAGATTGGATCAGTATTGGACGTGAAGAGGATGGATGAGGGAAGGGAACGCACGAGATCAGGAAGAAGACCGAGCCCGCGAAGGGCGTGCACGGTCGTCTGCGTCGGCTTTGTCTTTTGCTCGCCGTGCATATCAGGCACGAGCGAGACGTGGATGAGCGCGAAGTTCTCGTGCCCGACGCGGAACTGGAACTGCCGCATGGCCTCGATGAACGGGGCCGACTCGATGTCACCGACCGTACCGCCCAGCTGTATATCATTGAGCAAGCGATCCTGAAAAACCCGTCAAGTCGTGAAGGCATACCTCGACGATGCAGACATCAGGCTCTTCGCCCGTGTCATCCACCGGAATCTTTGACACGCGTTCTATCCAGTCTTGAATCGCGTTCGTCACATGCGGCACGATCTGCACACCCACACGCATACACCCAGCCATAAGCACAAGTTCTCCAGCCCCGCCCGCAAAACGCAGCCGAAACGCACCTGCACAGTCCTGCCTAGATACTCCCCCCTCCGCTCCTTCTCGATCACCTCGCGATATATCTTGCCCGTCGTGATGTTGTTGTCCTTGGACAGCGTAACGTCGAGGTAGCGCTCGTAGTTGCCGAGGTCGAGGTCCACCTCTCCGCCATCATCGAGCACGTAGACCTCGCCGTGCTCGGTGGGGCGCATCGTACCCGCGTCGATGTTCATGTATGGGTCGATCTTGATCGCGGTCACTTTGAGGCCCGCGGTCTTGAGCAGCAGGCCCGTCGACGAGGCTGATTGATAGCGTGGTTATCGGTTGTCGTCGTCGCGCAACATCATACGCAGGGAAACGAAGGTCAGGAACGAGAGGTGGGTGGGCGGTGAGTAACGTCGTGTAAGACGGTATGGAGTGCAAGGCAACATGGGTGCTGGAGCGTGAATGACTGCTGGATGCGTGCAGTGATAGTTTTGCCTCGCACCGATGACACCCTTCCCGATACCGCTCACGACACCGCCAGAGACGAGGATGTACTTTGTCATTGTTGCTGTTGACGAACGCGGGACAAGTACAAGGAAAGGCGACGTAAGAAGAGACGCGTCAAAATTTTGAGTCAAGTGCACTAATTGAAACGCGCTTTAGATCCGCCAAATATCAGACAACACCCTATCGGCACATCTTATCAAACACAGGGGCTATTTACTGCCCTTCACTACTGAAAAGACGACAAATCGACAGAAGATGGCATAGGCTCATCAAACAGCGCTCCGACGAGGTTATATGCAGCCCGCGTCGCCATCGCCGTCCTCGTCTCGAACGTCGCACTCGCCACATGCGGCACGATCACGCATCTGCCCCAAATCCAAACCATCAGCACCTGGCGACCAATATCTCTCTTAAACGCACCTAGGCTCCTTCACCAACGGATGCTCAGCCCCGACATTCGGCTCCCCCTCCACAACGTCCAACCCCGCCCCAAACGGCCTCGGCCGCTCCCTGCCCAACGCCTCCGCGAGCGCCTCCGAATCGACCAGCGTCCCCCGGCTCGCGTTCACCAGCACCGCCGTCTCCTTCATCTCCCTCAAAAACTCCTCATTCACGACATGGTACGTGCTCGGCCCGCCGGGCGCGAGAACGAAGAGCACGTCGCTCTCCCGCGCGAGCTCTTTCAGGTCTACTTTGCGGAGCTCTCTGAGGTTGTGTTGCGTCTGGAGCGCTGCGTCCCGCTCCGAGTCGGGCGGGGACCCGGGGTTGCCGGAGTAGAGGACGTGTGTGATGCCAAAGGGGACGAGGCGGCGGAGCGTCGCCTGTGCGATGCGCCCGAAGCCGAGGAAGCCGGCTGTGCGCGTTTGTGAGGGCGAGGTGGTGCTCAGCTGGGGGCCGCAGAAGCCAAAGGGCTTCCAGGAGTAGTCTCTCCACTACATGATATTTTGAGTACAAATGACAGCGTGTTAGAAGACATGTTATCGCGTACTGTGCCAGCCTGGACGATGGATACGCCATTGTTGACTCGCGAGGCCATCAGGGCGAGCATGATGCAGAGATCGGCGACTGTTTGTGTCAGACCATGGATGAGCTCGGCATTAGCCAACTCCAAGAGAAAGGTGGGGAGACAAACCTGCTTCTGTGAGCACATCAGGGGTATATCCCAGTTTCAGACCACGTCGCCCGACCGCTTTCAGGTCAACATGTTCTGTAATAGCGGTGAGCTCTAGCCCCAACACCAATCCTGATGTATACTTTGCGGACGTACCGTACCCAACCGACATAGTCGACACGACCCGCAGCGAAGGGCCAGCTGGACAACACATCCAGAGTAAGATGACCCCATATAAGCACAGTAGCAACACGCAGACAAGCTAACCTGCATCCAGCAGTTCATCATCCACCTGAAAACCGTCAGCCCCCCGCATCTTATCCTGACACCCCTACCATGAATGCAACAAACTCACCTTATCCGTCAGCATAACAATAACCCCCACCGCGCCCTCCACATTCTCAAGCAGCCACCGCCGATCAGCGGCTTTATCGTCCGGCCCAGGCCATACAACCAGCTGCAAGCCTTGCACTCAGCGAGGGGAGAACATCAAGCAACGCAATGAGCAAGACACACGTCAAGCTCCTTCTTGGCCTTCAAAATCCCCACAGCGTCCTCCCCAAGATTACGGCACACGACAACCTTCATGTTAGCCTTTGCGTTCAAGTTTGCTTGATTCGACGGCGGTGACGGCGGCAGTGATCTGGAGAGATGGGAGGCAAGCGAGGTCAGGCGCTGCGCTGCGGACATGAGCGGGGAGAGGAACGAAACGGATACATGGTTAAATCTGCTGCTGTGCTCTTGAGAACGCGACGCTCCGGGACGGACTGGCGGTGAGAATCAACCAGAGCGGAGAAAGGGGTCATTCATGCGTTCATGCGGGGCCGCGGGCCGTTTTCCCCGAGCGACATATTATGACATGAGTGAAAATCTCGTAGTTTTCTGCAGACTCAATAACGTGTGTGCCTCCACTTGAAAGGACGATCAAAGAGATATCAGCAAGTTCGTGTTCAGGTATCCACATAGGAAAGCAAGGTTCGTTCTAGTTCGACGCAGGATGCCCGTCCATATCGACATCGTCCGCTGCATCCTCACCCTGCTCGACGCCGATGCTCCCCGCCGGCTTCCACACGTTTCCCACCGACGCCTTCCACAGCCGCACGCGCCCGTCATTGCCCGCCGACGACAACAAAGTCCTGTACACATACACACCACACCGTCAAACGCATCAACAAATCAGCACCCCGCAGCAAACCCACAGAACCAAAAACGCACCCCGTAATATTCCACTCAACCCGCCCCACCGCACTCTTATGCTGATCAAACTCAGCAACAACGCTCCCGCTCCACCGCGGCTCGCCCCCTCCCAGCTCCGACCCGTCCACATCCATCTCGCCGCCCAGGCCCAGGCCCAGCCCTGCGTCGCTATCAGCGGGCGGAGCGAGCTTCCAGATGCGCACACGCCCGTCACGCCCGCCCGTCGCGATCAGATGGTACGATCGCCCGCACGACGGCGCCCACGCGATCGACGTGATCGCGCTGCGCCCCGATGTGTCCTCCGCAGCGGCCCCGCCGGGTGTACCACCGGATGCGCCAGCGGCGCCACTGTCGGACGCAGAGGAGGGGAGGAGGAGGGGCGGGGCGGGGTCGAGCGTGAGGAGGGTGGTTGGGCGGCGGGAGGAGGAGAGCTGGACGATCTGGATGGGTGTTATGAGCGTTCTGCGCGCTATGTATATGTATATACAAAGGAGGGGAAACACAGCGCACCTTGACAGCCCCACCCGTGCCCGCACCCACCGCGAGCACCTCGCCCCAATACCGCTCCTTGCACCACGCGAGCGCCCACCCGCCGTCCGCCTCCCTGTTGCCGAGCCCGGGGCGCGCGGCTAGCTGGCCGGATGGCGCCGGCGCCGGCGGGGCCTGCGACTGCTGGATCGCCTGTGCGACGAGCGACGCAGACGCGCCCTCGAGCGTGGCATGCGTCTGCGTGGGCGTCGCGAACGCGACGGAGTGCGAAGATGGGGACGAGGAGGACGGGAGGCGGAGCACGTCGACTTCCTCTGCGAGCTGCCATGTCGCGAGCGAGGTCTGCTCGAGGCACTCGTAGACCCGGAGGTGGTTGTCGGACGAGATGGAGGCCTATATATGGCCGTGTTGAGCGTTACGATGCGTTCACTGTGAGCGCGTAGGCGGGCAGAAAAGGGAGCGTACCAGTTTAAGCCCAAAATGTCTCGGCGCGAACTCGACAGCCCGCACGGTCCCCCGCGCATCCACGAGCGACGCCCGCTCCACCCACCTCGTTGACGACGACCCTCCTGCTGGACTTGAGGCAGAGCCATTCGGCTGCGCGGCTATCTCGCCCGCGGTTTGCTCCCAGACCTTGATGGTGCGGTCGAACGACGCGGAGGCGATGATGGTCCCGAACTCTGGATGGGCCCACGAGAGGCGTGAGATTGCGGCATCGTGTGCCTACGAAATGGTGCACGTCAGCACGGAGAAAAGGGGAGTAGGGCAGGGGCGGGATAGCGAAGTAGGATATGTGTATATGCGTACCTTCCAGTCGTCCTCGACGCGCCAGGTGCCGTTGGTTTCGTCTATTTGCCAGACTTTGATTCTACGATGCGACAGGAATGTATTGAAGAGGGCACATTGAAAGGTACCAAGGGACTTACCTTTGGTCAAGACCACAGGTGGCCAGTCGTAGGCCGTAGAAGTCATAGGAGACGTCCGTCACCAAGTCATTGTGCGCGCTTTGGATGAGACCTGTCTGAATCATAGGTAGCTGAGTATTATGATTAAGTTACTCGTTCAGAGAATGGGCGTGTCGGGTGTCGGATATCGCGTCCGATCGAGTTATGTCTTCAGGAGTCTCGTGGCGGTTTGAATTCGGGGTGGACCGCAAAAGGAAGGCAGAGGCTTTAGAATTCAACACACACAAACAACCCTCGACTGCGCTATTTCAGGTTTCCCCGCTGGCACGCCACGCTGCGCAAACGTCGGCTCGGCTCTTGGCTTTATCAACGCGTGCTCTCAACTTTCATGTGAATGTGTGCATACTTGTATCGCGGTGCTTACACGTCGACAGAGGCAAACAAGGAATTTCACCTACTCGCTGGACAGCTGGCAGACGCTTATGAGTCGCTTGTGTCTCGCGCTAAGCCGCCAATATTCTCGCTGGAGGACTGACCATCGAAGACGACTGTATTCAACGGATCATCCTCTTCTCCGTGCGTATGACTTCTGCCTGATCGGCGACCCTCGCTACTTCCCCACATTCACATTGCACCCTATCGCACCCACTCCAATCTCCTCTTTTGCACCTCGAGAGAAAGACCGATGATACCCCGCCGCCCTCCCGCCCATGTGACAAGGGTTCGTGACGCGGGGCCTGCCAGCTACTGCTTGATACGGATACGTACTTAAGGATAGTACCGGCGGTAGAGACATTTGTGCATCCCGTTCCGTCCCCTTCTCCATCTCTAGCACGACACCAGCAAACCAGCTCCGATAAGACGACCACCATGTCTGCGCAGAAACTGCCAAAGGGATTCACCTGGGGCTTCGCCACAGGTCCGTCTTCTCTGCTCTTCTTCTTGTGCTCTTATCTAACATCGCCCTCTTCCTCGCTCTTGGCTTCGCGCATCAGCCTCCTACCAAATCGAAGGCGCACACAACGAGGGTGGCCGTCTCCCGTCCATCTGGGACACCTTCTCGCACACGCCAGGCAAGACCGAGGGCGGCGCCTCGGGCGACGTCGCGACGAACTCGTACCACCTCTGGCGCGAGGACATCGCGCTGCTCAAGTCCCTCGGCGCGCAGGCCTACCGCTTCTCCATCTCGTGGTCGCGCGTCATCCCGCTCGGCGGGCGCGACGACCCCGTCAACCAGGAGGGCATCCAGTGGTACCGCACGTTTGCGCAGGAGCTGCTGAACAACGGGATAACGCCGTGGGTGGTGAGCTGTTCTTCGCGACTGCAGCGCCAGAACAAGAGGCTTATTATGGTCCGTGGCACGCGAACAGACCCTCTACCACTGGGATCTCCCGCAGAACCTGCACGACCGGTACGGCGGCTGGCTGAACAAGGACGAGATCGTGCCCGACTTTGTCAACTACGCCAAAGTGTGCTACGACGCGCTCGGAGACATCGTCAAGCACTGGATCACCTTCAACGAGCCGTGGTGCATCGCTGCGCTTGGCTACGGCGTCGGGTATTTTGCGCCCGGCCGCTGCAGTGACAGGAACAAGTCCGCAGTCGGGGACTCGTCGACAGAGCCGTTCATGTACGTCTTTTCTTAATAATAATAATAATAATAATAACGCCTTATACCGATGACTTGTCGTGTTGCTCATGATGATTGCGCCATAGTGTTACGCACAGCGTGCTCATCGCTCACGGATATGCCGTCAAGCTTTACCGCGACCAGTTCCAGCCAACGCAGAAGGGGACCATCGGGATCACGCTCGATGCGAGCTGGTGGGAGCCGTACTCGGACAGTCCTGAAGGTGAACATCGTCTTCGTCGATATTCAATCCAGATAACCAATACCTTGTAGACATTGCTGCTACACAACGCGCATTCGACGTCCGGCTGGGCTGGTTTGCCGTAAGTCCTCGTTATGCCAAATTAACGAAGCTCCTTCCTAACTGCCTCTGTTCTCCCTAGCATCCGATCTACCTGTACGCTCCTCGTCATCAGCACCGTTCACTTTGATCGCACTGACACCTCCATAGCGGGTACTACCCCGACGCGCTGAAGAAGATGATCGGGAGCAGGTGCCCCGAGTTCACCGCCGAAGAAATCGCAGTCGTCAAAGACTCGTCCGACTTCTTCGGCCTCAACCACTACACCAGCCACCTCGTCCGTGCGTACCTCCCTATCTCTCTCTCTTCTCTCCTTCACTCACCCCACCCACCCTACCGGAACCGGAACCGCACACCACACAGAGGAAGGCGGCGCCGACGAATTCAACGGCAAAATCAAACAAACCCACACCCGGCCGGACGGCACACAGCTCGGCCCCGTCGGCGACCTCGACTGGCTGCAGACATACGCGCCCGGGTTCCGCAAGCTGCTCGGGTTCGTGCACAAGCGCTACGGCAAGCCCGTCGTCATCACGGAGAACGGGTTCTGCGTGAAGGGCGAGTCCGGCCTCACGCGCGAGCAGGCGCTGCGGGACACGGAGCGTGTGTCGTATCATCGGGAGTATCAGGAGGCGATGCTTAAGGCGATACATGAGGACGGGGCGGATGTGAGAGGGTATTTCGGGTGGAGTGAGTCGCGTTTTTCTTTCTCGAGCTGCATGGATGCCTGTGCTGCGATATCACGCTGTGTTTATTCGCTCGTTGATGCTGATGCGTGTGTGATTAGGCCTGCTGGACAACTTCGAGTGGGCGGCGGGATACGGTCCCCGGTTCGGCGTGACGTACGTCGACTACGAGACGATGAAGCGGTACCCGAAGGACTCAGCCAAGTTTGTCTCCGAGGTCAGTCTCCCTGTCCCGTCCACCACTTTTTCCTGCGAACTTGAACAATAATCTGACGCGCCGTCACCAGTGGTTCAAAACCCACGTGCAGTAGAGGTAGCTAAGTTCAAGCGTCTTCGCTATACCCGAATAAGGCCAAACTCTGTAGTCGCAGTATCTCGTCGTGTACGTGTGTAAGATAACAATGTTCAGCGTGAAGCTATCGATTTGCCTCTGCAGGGCCGCTCTCAACAGACAGTTGAGATTACAGTAGACATGTCGCGTGATGATACCCGAAGAAATTCATTAAGACTCGTGGGCGACTATGTCAATGTTGGTTGAACTTCCTCCGCCTCCAAGCACAATCTTGAAAGCGGAAATAATCACATCTATTTGATAAGTAGACCTTGGAAGACTCAAAAATGGCGCAGCGCTGCGAACCCCTACCCCCTCCAATCAGACCATCCATGGACTTGTTCGTACGAATGTGCAGAAGAACGATCTCAAATATAGATTGTTCAAATGTTCACTAGTACATTTTCAATTCTGTAAATGTCTCGAGAATAAATACTACAGACTAAACGACGGCGGAAAAGAGAGCGATACAGTAAAAGAGAGAGGGATACCATCAACGAAAGAAAATAAGTCAAACGACGAAGAAGCTGACCCAAAGCACCGATGTCGAGCTTATGCAGTGAAGTTCGAGTTGAACCACGGGCTTAGGCCGATGCCGGGAACGGACTGCACGAGCCCGTTCGTCGCGGGCGAGAGCGCCCATGCGACGGTGACGGTGTCGTTCCACGCCGTGCCGTTGTAGTACGGTGTCTCGGTCAGGATGTAGCTCGTCGCGAAGCCGCCGGCCGCCCAGCCGAGGTAGCCGAGGAGGACTAGGCAAGGAAACGTGCGTCAGTCTCGCTTGGAATCCACAAGTGAAGGAAGGGAGGGAGATAAAGCATACCGTCCGAGTTGGCGGCCTGGTACGCAGCCTGCTGAGAGAGGTAGCCGACGCACGAGTACACGTCGCCGCCGCCCGTCTCGGTGTTGAGCGCCTGTCTGCCGTATGCGCGCAGCCAGTCCGAGAGCGGGGCCCAGGACGACTGGATGTTGTTCGTCACGCAGGGGATGTTCGTGCCTCTGTTCAGGTTACAAGTATCAGCTTCTGATGAGGAAAGCATAGCAGCATGGAATGTCAAGCACTCACGAGTTGTCGTAGTCGAGGTACTTGTGCACGTCCATGACAAGGCCGGTGATTGAGCCGTCGGGGTTTTTGACGTTGTTGAGCGCCTCGGCGGAGCCGTTCTCGACGAAGGCCTCGGCAGATGTGTAGTTGTTACCGGGGAGCAGGATGATCTGGGACGTAGCACCGGTGTCGCGGATCGCAGTGACGGCATATTGGACCTTTCAAAGCACCTTGAGCCAGCATGTACAAGACCAAAAGGCGGAATTTGACTTACACTCTCAGCCCAGGTGTAAATGTCCGGGATATCATGGGGCTCGTTCATACTAGCGAACATCAACGCCTGGCGCCAGGACAACACAAAAGAGCTACACTTACACACCAAAGATAACCCTTGACTCATCCTTCCAATACGACGCAATATTGTACCACAGGTCCGCAAAGATCTCGTTGCTCGGCCCGCCCTGGCCGATGATCGACCCGTTGAACCGCGCATAGTTGTGGATGTCGATCTCGCAGTACGCGTCCGAGCCCGCGTCGAGGCACGCCTGCACGAGCATGTTGTAGTTCGCGAACTGTGTCTCGTTCAGCGTGCCCGTCTCCTGGTTGTACGTCAGGTACTGCCACCCGACGGGCAGCCGGAAGACGTTGTAGTAGTCCTGGTTGTAGAAGTGGATCATCTGGCCCGCACCGTCGGAGCCTGGGAGGAAAGGCGCGAGTGAATTCGAGGTTGGATTTCGGCTGAGGGATAAGGGAAGTAATATCTCACCTCCGAGCTGAAGCAGGGGAGGAGTGGCCTGGGTGATGTCGCAGTATCCATCGGTGGCACAACCGAAATCTGCAAACGCATCAGCAAGCCATAAATCCCAAGCAAGGGCTGTCACGGACCGAAACCAGCAATGTTCACACCAGCAAACCTGAGTGGCCTGAACGTCGAGTTGAACTGCGCCCGGGCAGAGGTAGCGGCAAACGCAGAAACAGCGAATGCGAGGAGTGTCCTGAAGGCCATTTCGGTGATCCGTGTACCGGGGAAGAAACACGAAGGTCTGTTGCACTACCCATAACCGTCGAGAATCGCGCTTTTATGGGCCCCTGCGAGCGTGCCTCGAGAACGAGGGCCAAAAATATCGCTATTTAACATGTTACTCATGTGGCCTTCTCACAAGAGGTTTTAAAGGAACACAAACTCCCAGAGACAACCGAGGTCATTCCGAGCAGCCCGTGGGCTCCAGGACAAGAAGGAGCGTCGGGGTACACATCTCGGTGTATGCCTAGGGTGCAGAGTAGGATCGGAGTATCGGCGTAGGACGCATGGGGGCCGACGCAAGGGTAATCGAGGGACGAGTCCTTGGGATCAGATACGTCCAACACGATCACTTTTTGGTCACGTTGACGGTCCTTACTCGCGACTTCCTCGGAAGTTTCCTCGTGGAGCTCTGCGCTAGATATGTTCACCGGCCGTACTGCGTCCTGAAAATAGCTGACCATAGACGGGGACTCATCGCGTCCAGCTCCAGAAGCCTCAAACAGGCCAGCGTAGTCATGGTGCCTAACTTGGAGCTCATGTATAGGGGTAGCTTCATAAAAGCTGCACGCTTGTCCAACGAGATGCTTCGGTGTCTCCACTTCGACTTCATGAGGGATCTAATAATGCGTCAGCGTCCAAAACCGTAATCAAGTTACCCAAGGTCGACGAAGGATGAAAAGTTTTTGAAGCTACTTACCGACAATGATGACATAGACCTGAAGAAACGTTCGTTGCTTATGATATATCGCCGATTAAACTGCACGAGCCTGCGAAGATCTCGATGTGCAGAGATAAACATGTTGGCCATACGTCATTTCCCGAGACACATGTGAGCAACGGCACTGTCGCGATACATTTTTTCTGACTGAGAAACAGGACAAAAGGGAGAATGAACATGAGTTTCGAGGTTCGTCACCCCAGCCATGTGTTGGGCGGCAAGACCTTCGAATGGACATTGTAACGCACTGTGCAGAACGTTCTTAATATACCCTTAAGCTTGCTAGCGTTGATGGTTGTCAGAAAAGGTTCCGCATATACGAACTGTTCAACTCGTCAATGGGTCTCCGATCAGCCATTCTAGTCGGCACGGGAGTACTAACAGTCAATGAATTGCGTCCGAGACCATTCCTTTGTCGACCCAGGTCAGGTCCTTTGGCCCCCGCGAGGTCCTAGTTTCTGATGGACTTCCACAAGCGTTCGGTGCACTTGACACCATGATATTAGTACTCAGCGACAAGTAAGACTGGCGTCGGTCTGGTGAATCAAACACTCACCTTCACCATTGCATGCCTGCTACTACAGGTTGCCCTTGACAATAGTGTTCGAGGGGGAAATAGATGTGACTTTCAAATGGCGTGGTTTTATGGTGAGTTGACAGCATCCGTCCTGATCGTCGGGTAAGCACAAGTGTCAGTGTCAACTGTCAAGCATGTCAAGAATGACTAGGCCCCGGCAGTTCGTTATCAGTCCGTTGAGCAAGGGTCATGTCTGTCTGAGCATGGCACTAGCCCTAAGACAACGGGGGTGGCGAAGAAGGGGGCCCTCTTGTCAATATACAGAGAGTGAATTCGCTTGCCAGCTTTTCGTATGCAAAACGGAGACGAGAACGAGGAGAAGGTGTCTAAAGAGAAGAAATGCATTAAGCCGCCTATTACCGCACGTCACTGTAAAGTTTACGCAGTATCGGACCGAGTCCGACGTCACCGAGAAGCGACTTACGGCGCCCCACTACCTCCCACCCGCCGAGAACCCTGGTTGTTGTAAGTCATTTCTGAACGCGAATATGGAACCCACATCATCGAGGTCCCTTCTTCTATCAGGCGCCTCGGTTCCCCAGGGTGCGGAACAGCCTTAAACACTGCCCCCCTTCTGTGCGCTCTTTTCATCTCCTCGTCCAACTCGCAGATCCCCCACCTTCCTTCCTTCATCTTCAAGGCCCACCCGCCGACCGTGCTTCTCTCCTTATCCCACTCCTTTCGTTGCGTTTCATCTCAACATGTTGCTCGGCGGTTTCTTCTTTCCTTGGGCGGAGGTCGTCGAGTGGGCTCTCCCCCGGCCGGAGATCGAGATGAGGCTCCTGGCAAAAACATTCAAGTTCAATCCCGAGAAGAAGCTCGACCGGTTAGACGCCGCCGCGTGCTGCGTCTTTCTCATGGACTACCTCAAAAAGCGGCACCGCAAGACAGCCGCCCAGCTCGTTGCGTTCCGCGATGATGACTTCGGCGTCATGATTGTCACCCAGCGAGCACGCTTTTCGGCAGACGACTGGGAGGATGTCGGGAGGGACAGCGCGAACCTCGAGCAATTCGTACCCCAACAACATGAGGAGGTCCTGAGGCAGATGATTGAGGAGGAGTACGGTACGCTCACTATCTCAATGCGTACTGCCCCACGATACTGATCCATGGCTGCCGGATCATCAATAGGGATGAAGCCGCGATACGTCACAACGTACAAACCGGATAGGCGTTAACGCATTCTTCTCCTTCCCTTGCGCGCCTCCGGTGCATGCTCGACTCACGAAAGCGGGTTCCTACTCATTCCAACGTGCCCAAGCACAACTCCACGCGACAATCATCCTCACAGGCGTGGGCAAACCACGCGCACAAGAGGCAAAAGACGCAGCGCTTGCGTCACTGAGCAAACGGAAGACATAGGTTCAGGTTTCATTGACTGCGTTATCCAACAGGACTCTCACCTCATCCACTTATTCCTTCACTGTACCAGTATCTCCGCTTCATTGTCCATACGTCGATATGTTAGCACCCCTGTATACTCATTTCTAATGTTTGTACCCATCAGCTACAATACTTGCTTATAACTCGGACTCTACACATCACATATGTGGGTTTCATAGTAGTTTTATTTGACCTTGTGATACAATGAAGAGACTTGCCATCGACCGAAGCTTGAGTGGGTAGATGGATTCAACAGCTTCGATGCTTGCTTCGATGTCCAACTCGTGAGTCTGGAGATATCTAAATGTGGACAAGCCCCTCTTTCCCTCACCCCAGCGACTCAACCAACTCTTCGATCAGACGCTGAACACGGATTGTCCAAACACTCTATCTTGTTATCCATCTATTGCGTCAGTTTCAAGCTTTTCAGATACCCTCGAGTGTGTGATTCTGTGGCGCACGGGTACAACGCATGTGTACATCCCATACATGGATGGACATCCGCGTCTGGGTCCACTTGAAGTACTGCAAGTACGAAGCCACGAAGACAACCACTGAACGCTCAGAGTATCCAGTCCGGGCTAGTCCCTCGGGGCCCCTCGGGTCACTCGTCAACGCATGTACGCGCTGCCTCTCAGGAACATATAGCTCATCCCTAAGCAACACTATTAACCTTCCAAGCTGAAATGAGTCATCGAATCTAATCTAACCTTCCAAGTTACTTTTCGCGAGTTGAGTCCAGTCGAGCCTTGGGAAGCCCACCGTCCCTTCCTACGCTATCTAGAGCATGCGTTGCAGGGCACGGACCACTCTTCATATCTTCATGTTAGCATCTCCAGCCTACAGGTATGTTCACGTTGCAATTATGTTCACGTTGGCTGGGATTCTGATGTCGTATTGTATCCGGATCTAGTTGGTCTATGTTATCGAGTGTTCCTTTGTTCTTATCTCGGCTTTTATTATTATCATGGTTGCATATAAGGCGCATCCGAATCGTGGCTAGCTGAATCGTTACGTGACTGCCCTTCAGTCCTTCGGGTATCCCAAACACGCCCAAGACAAAAGTGCCTGTGTCGTCGCAGTTACCAACGACCGCCAAATTTATACACACATTAGTCTCGACATGCAGTGATTGTTAACGCCGGTTACATGTCTTTGATATGTCTTTTAGCAAGATGTCACCAGGAGTATGGAAAATCTGGTGACATTTTGCTTAAAAGGGCAGAGCGCCCTGTGGTCCTGGCAGACAGTACTACGATAATTACCGCTACGTACCATACCAGGACCCTTATGCAGCATACTATAATAATCAATTGAACCATGCTAACATGCACCATCGAACAGGGTGATAGCACTGGCAAGAGTACTAGGAAGTTTGACACAAGAAGGGTTTATACTGTAGTACTAATATCGTGTGCCTCTCGGAAAATCAATCCGCTGACGGTTGTTACAGTCTCTGAGTTCGATTCTGGGTCGGCTGCCCTTCTTAAATGGATCATCAGGTGAGCAATGAACACGGAGCACATAATGCGTGCAGGTCTAGAATAAACAAAAGTGAGCATATCTAATCGCTGAAAAATGTCGTTGTCGCTGCCAGTGAGAACACGTACGTGCAAAGTACAACCGTCAGATCCAAAGTTGAACTCTGCAATGGGACTGTCAGTCTGGGTTCTGGCATCACATCAATGCATATTAAAATGCCGCACCGATTGTCTTGGTGCAATCACAACAATAACCAACACTATAAGGTTATCAGTTATGACTAGAGCCATATATTGTAATACCATACCTGATAGTAGCACGTAGTAAAAGAAACCTATTTGTATATCTTTAATAAGGTGACGGTCAATTTTGACATATTCTGCGAGCTTACCATCTATCAAGCATATCTTGAATAATCCACAAAGTCCTTGACCCCCTTTGTCTATGCTGGCTTTAGTCTTCTGCATCAAGACATGCAGTGACATGTCCAGCAGACGTACAATCGTGGAAAAACTTGACAACCATAAATGTAATCCAAACTTTTGGTAAAGGCGCTCAGTATTAAGCGTAGAACATCTGAATCAATGTCCAAAACGTACCTGATTCCGCAAACAGTATCGTGGACCAGACCACTCTCAACAGCACACCGTTTCCAATCACAAAGCAGCCGGGATGTCCGGGTACTGACGTGACTTAGCACCAAAATTAGTCAACAAGGTGTTTATACATATCAGAACAGAGATTGTGCTTACTTGTTGTCTCTTGCAAGAACCTGTTCATAAGGAAGATCACTACAACGATCTTGCAAGTATACACGGCCATGATTATAGTTGCAACCTTGCGACTTTGACGCCATAAAGCCCACGTCCGCACCCCTAGTACCACTTTTATCTCGTTGGAATCTTCCAGGTCAATGACATGTTAAGAGACGCACGTTCGGAAACTACAATCCCAAAAGTATCGATCCCTGCAAAAGTGGTCCGTTAAATTTAGATTGATGGTTTTGCTGTGGCGAACTTAAACAAAGGAGGACTAACATAACATGGCGGATACTGCATGCGAGCACACGGGATTCGCAAGACGCGGTAGAAACCCCACTGAATAGCGCAATGGGTTATCACGAGAAGATAAAGATTACATTGAGAGGTTACTCACTGTACACAAGCCCAACTATCGGATTAGCATAGGTCGCGTACCTCGTCCATAGATACAGCACCTTGACGCAATTCCACGGCTCCTTCCAGATATACCGCACCTCCAAATCGAGGTTCGTCAAGGTGTCATGAATCTTTGAAGGGACTGCCCATTAGCCAACCTTATAAGCGCAATCCTCAACAGTACTCGTACCAATATTGCTACATAAGCGACTGCACTGGCCATTAGTGCTCCTTTTCCGTCATATTTCCGCGGATGTACGCACATGTCACATACTACACGAACGTCAAATAGTCAGTGAATGAACAACTTGTCAACCCAGGACGCCTCCAGAACGATGCTGAAAGGGTGGGCACGACGTACTGTGTTCAGTTGGGTTACGTTTCTCAGCGAAACATTCTCTTCGTAGCTGTCAATACTGCTGGAGAAATTCATCGGGTTTGAGTGAGGTATTGAAACGAGTTGCAGTCCTCTGGAAGGTCACTTCCAGAATAGTAGCCAAGCTCTAAATCAGAGGCCCTATAAGTATGACAATCAGACGCTCTTCATCCGTTTTAGGGCTATGATAGAAGATAACACGACGAGCGTTCAAAAGGGCGCTTTAGAGGGCGACAAACCACCTGGCGAGTTGGATGTGGACGAGTGGACGGATAGGTGTTCCATTTTTACTGTCCAAGGCGGTGGTGTGCCCTCAGGCGGACAGTACTGCTGTAGTTTTTGCGGACTGTGTTTGAAGTAGTACTAGCTGCAGCTGTCGGCCAAAGTGTAGTATGTCGCCCTCTTGTACATAGATGGGACACAATCAATCAAGCATTCAAACTTACCGTTCAGTTGGGATAAGGTGAAACACGTAGTCTAGCGGCGGCCGGGCGGTAGCACTATGGAGTCCATGTACGACACAAGACTTAGCCGTTTTTGTTATGTCGTTGGACGGCAATGTATCTAAAGAGATGCGTGGACCTTCGTGCCAGGTTCTTAACGTGCGCGTGTATATGTTCTTTTGGACTATGATGCATCCGTATAACCCAACAGACGACAGGGAAAACCTGTACTCATCATGACATTGACCTATTTTCGTCCATAATACGTGGTGAGAGCACGCGGACATACTTAGATCGGGGCGCAATCCCTTACCGTCTTCCACGCTGCACCTGCGCTTTGTAGCGGCGGTATGTGCAGTGTCCTTGTGTAGTGGGGCTTGTTCCCAATCTAGTTCTCAATCCGGTGCTGGTGGTTATCATGATAATTAGCATGAAACAGTGACACAATACTGAGAATAACATACGCAATATTTGTACAGCAGATTTACCTGGACTCGCTGTGCGGAAGAAACACTTAACACCGGGGTCAGCTTGATAAAGATCTTTGGTGGATCTGTGATAGGGGTGGTCGCCGCCGGACACAGCCTGTATCCTGCTTTCGGTTTCATCAGAGCTGCGTTTTTGCTAAGTACCAGTGGTATATGCTGCTCGAGTATGTGTTTCTCTTTAATAGAGTTGAGTCGGAGGAGCCGGCGTCAAATCGATCTGCGTGCGGAGGTTCGGTTTTGTCCGTACTCCGAAGCTCCGATGTCCCGACCCTGCGAGCCGACCCAGCCGAGCGCCTATCTCATCCTTGTTCTTCTCCGGATCCCGACGAGGCGCATGGATTTGGCTCCTCAACGTCCTCGAACACAAGTATGTATTGGACGGGATGCTCAGCTGGTAATTCGTGTTTGATACTATACATCACGATTCCCAGACGTACGTCACACTTCTATCCGCTACCAGAACCCTTCGCTCAACCGGCATCGCGCTCACCAGCTTGCGCCTAGTACCGGGTTGCCTGAAACCAGCTACAGGCTAAACCGTTCCTCCCCTCTTGCTCACGCTGGGCGCATACACCCCAGCGCCAACAATTATATGTATGATCTCTGTCTACAGCGACAAGACATCGTCGTGCTAATCCACATCTTCATGACCCTGACTGACCGCGCAAAATCGCATGGGCGTCTTCGGAGATGTCGCTGACGATGGACCTGTTAGACCAAAACATCGGGGTATGGATGTAAGAGGGAGGTGATGACGACGATGACGATGGCGGGAGCAATGAGGAATGGGACTATGGCAGGTCATTTCCGTGTATGGTGAATCGGGATTTTCTGTCTGTAAAGAAGTTGCAAAAGTTGTTTATGCCAGAAATGTAGCCCAAAAGGCTTCCAATTTCACTATATTTTACTCACTTGTCCTTGCGAGAAAATCGCGGTTTGTCCGCAGTGATTGAAGGTATACAGCATGTTGGAGTAAGGGTATGAAGACAGAAGTGGCAGCAGGCACCTGTGCAAGGCCCGTGCGAATTATAAAGCGCTTGTCAACGTCCGAAGTCCTTTACACTGCAAGCATTTCAAGATAAAAATGGACTTATTATTTGAAAGATATCAAAAAGATATTTTAAATGGGGGTTATCTGGGCTCAAGTAAATAACTTGTTTTTATCTAAAAGTGTTATCAAAACTGCCCTTGCCAGCTCTCAAGTAACAATGGCCTTAGATATTTGAAATGTTATCAAAAAAATTATCAGGAACCACCCTATTGGCTTTTGAATAACCGGAGCCTGAAATACTTGAAAGATTACTTAAGCAGTTATTGTAAAGCTGCTTTTGGATAACAATCTTGATAACCCTGCCAAGATTATTGTGAAATTATTGAAAATGTGCTGGGATGTCAGTTCAAATAATCTTCTAATAACATTCTTTATAAATAGCTGATGCTTATCCAAGCCCAATTTGGCAGGCTTTGTCTCTGGTGATTATCTTAGAATTAACTTGAAGATATTTTGAAGCACATATGATGGTAGATGATGATG